TTAAATACATTAGAAAGAACAAAGTTAGGATGCAATAAAATAGGTGACTCAAAAGAAATAGCAGCATATTCACAAATTGAAATCACTAACAAAAGACTAGCAGCAAGAACCAAATTGACGTTCTGATGCATAAATGCCATGCAAAACATACAAACATAATTAACTATAACTAAATATTGATATTTTAATTAGTATACATAATTCTATGGCAGATTGGCAGCACAAAAATTTAAAAGGAACCAAATACTAACCTGGGTTTTGCGATGACAACATCCTTGGGTGATACAATATAGTATAATGGTTCATCACCAGCTGCCCACTGACCACCAGCATAGCTGCTGCCTACATTAAAAGAGACAGGCACTATGACTATATGAATTTAAATTATCTGCCACATAAACCATTAACCCAAAAGACAACTCAACCTGAGAAAGGAGCATGAGCAAGGGAGTAGTCCTTTGCCTTGTAGCGTTCAAAGCCATGCACAGGTAGGGCATCAGTTGAAAGTTCATCATTGTTCCAAGTTACAATGCGAACTTCTGGCCTCTGTGCATTCCCCTGATTCAAAATATTTTTACATGCTGATGAAAACCAAGATAATAACAGAGAGCGAAGAGGATATCACACAAGAAAACAGGAACATAGCTCCCAGAGCAAGGGTTTGCAAGGCAAAAAGTGACCAATAAGGATACATCATGCTAGAAACATAGAAAATGAGACAAATAGAGTAATAGATACCAAAGAGAAAAACAAATATGAAAAGGAAAAGGTCAAAAAATGTGAAACAAAAAAATACCAGTCGTAATGGCACAGCACTGCTAAATTCTCTCTCCCCATCTTCTTCCACAGGGATGTAAGCTAGAACAACCAATGCATCACCAAATGGGGCAACTCCTGAAATATAATAGCTGGTCTGAAAAGATGCTACAATATCCACTTGGTTTGTGCTAGCCATAGCAACCTGTCTATATGTTCCATTTGCTCCTTTATGCTGACTAGTCCTTATTGATGCAATTTTTATAGATGTTCCCCATCCAATTACCAATAGAGTATCATCCTGAATATAATAGAAGGACAACAAGCAATCACAAAATTTTAGGAAAGGATGACTTGTGGAGGTGGAATTAAATAAATTAATGAAAACATCTGCTACAGTGGACCACACCACTGATGCTAACCTGCCAAACTAAATGTGGGAGCAAAATCTCTGGGCGTGGACTGCCTCTTGGTCTTTCAATGAATGTAATGCGCTGATCATTGGCAGCATCATAAACTTTTACACCAGCATCATTAGCCCAAGCAATGAGACTTGTTCTCCATTTCACTGTGTGGATTGGACCTTCACCAGAGTGCAAAACCTGAAAACCATTAATTTATATCATTTAGAAATGAAAGGGTTGAGAAGGCAATTTACTGTACAAACATTAGACTAGCACAAACCTGGTCCTTGTAGCCAAGCCACTTCTTTGAATTAAAAAACAAGTGACCTGCTAAACCACCAGCTACAAATCTTCTAGATGCCTTTCTAGCATAATCTGGGTCCAGAGCAATGGCCTTCATTGGACGGTGATAATTGAACTTCATTTTCTCATCTGTGAAGAGGCTGTTTATCACAACAGTCCCATCATCAGAACAGCTTCCAACATATTCACCATCTAGATCAAAGCTTAGGTCATTTACTGCAGCTGAGTGAGCAGGGAATTCCTTAACCTGTAAAAGGTAAACAAAGTAACATTTCAAACAGGAGGAAGAGGTTTCAAAAATCGTTGAGTAACAAACCCACATCACAATTCACTAGCAGACATTACAATGAAGGAACCAAAACAGCAATTTCCAATGTAATGTTGATAATGATAAGTGATACTTAAATGAAAATCACTCATCATTAAGAGTTATGTCGTGGTAGAGGTGAAGCAATTTTCAATTGACGATCCACTGGAATATTTAATTGTTAACAGACAGAAATTCTTGTAACAATTCTATTCTCTTAGACACAATATACCTGAAGAAAAACAGTTCCAGTTTCATGATTTCCATGAAATAAAGCTTAGATGTAGCCTAAAAATAAGCCTTAGTACTAACATTACCTTTGTAGCCTGTACTCCCCAAAGATTGCAATCCAAATATCCAGTATCAGAAGACAAACTAAATCTATTCCAATTTCCTAGCGCATGAAAGTAATATACATCTAATTTACACTGATCACCAATAGAATTCAAAAGAACGATGTATAACTTCAAGAAGATGTACACCTAGCAACTTTACCAAGTTACAAATACAAAGCATCAGCTCAATTAACAATATCCTAACGCAATATGAGATTTAAGAGCTTCACCGAACCAAAAACTCTTTAAATTGATGAAGTCGCTAACCTGATTCCCTAAAAAATCGAGGATATGAACAGCTCCGCCCTGTGTGCCGAGCGCGATCATGCGCTCGGCGACGGCAATACACGATGCGGCATCACTGGACATCAAGGAGGGGATGCTGCCTCCCATTCTCTGGTATTTTAGCCTCGGCTCTTCTTCGTCTTCCTCCTCCTCTTCATCATCTTCTACCTCGTCGTCCTCTTCTTCTTCTCTCTCGTCGTCTCCTTCGACACCGTTTTCCGATGGAAACGGAGACATCTGCAGAATCCTTGGTTCCAGGGAGGGAAGGGAAGGAATTATTGGGAATGAAAAAGCACGAGAAAGATGAAAGATCTGTTGAGTGTGGGATTCGCCGCTTAGAGCAGGAATTTGGTGATGTGTGTTTTTTTTTTTCCTTTGGTTTTTATTTTTGATAAATTTGGTTGATTATTTATTTGCTAGACAACAAGAAAATGGTGACATGTGCCGGCTGACACGTGGACCCAGATTATCACCAATTGTGTTATCACTTTTCTGTATCTTTTGCTCCTCTTCTGCGTGGAATTTTCCCTTTGATTTTGATTATATGTAGTCTTTGTGGCAGATTTTGGTAGTGCGGAACGTCACATTGACAGAAAACACACATCGAATTATTATGAGCCTTTTTTTTTTTTTTTGGAGAAAAAAAATTGCTTTTTCGTACATTAGAAAAAAGCTTTTGATACTTTATTTAGGTCTTTTTTTTAACTTTTTTTTTTAGGTGCTATATAATATGTTTATTTATGTCTTTTTATTTTCAATACTTTATGAAATATATTGATAATAGCTAATGTCATGAATGATTTTCTGGTAAGATACAAGAATAGCATCTAAAATATATATATATATATTGAGCAATTAAGGTACAAATTAAGACTTGAACTATGACTAATACTATAGCGTTAATTCACGACACATCTTTATTGAGGCGATTAATTAAGTACATAAATGCAAAGACAACCATTCAAAAATTACGAGAATTGAGAAGTCCATTGTTTGTTTTTTTTTTTTTTTTTTTTCATTGTGTAATACTCTATTCATTTAATTAAAATAAAATGAAATGATTAAATGTGAATATTAATATCTTATGTAAAATTTTAGTGATGCCATACGGTAATGATCAATTATATGATTTCAAGGGTAACATTGTTAGTGACAAGAAAAGAAACAATTGATATTTTTTTCTAATCAGTGATCATCTTACACACTGAATTTTCTCCAGTTAAGAAGTTTAATAAATACTATAACTTTTAAGTTTTAAATAACTGAAAATGTTACCAATGATCTAAATTTAGACAATTTATAACGGACAAGTATATTATGGCTAGTGCTACACCACGTTTACTTTCCTAATTTGATGAAAGACATGTCATTTACATTGAAATTAAGGAACTAATTAAACAAAAAAATTGAATATTGGATAATCTATGACAGTAGATTAGACAACAATCTTTGATAATGAGGTGATAATTTATGTAAATGGAAACACTATTTTTTATAAATTAGACAAAATCTTTTATAAATTGGGCAGTAATTTTTGTGTAGTATGTGAAGTGATTGTTTTATTTATTTATATAATACTCTTTTTCGTCTCATAATAATGGTTTTTTTCTAAATTTTTGTTTCAAATTAAAGATTTTGAGATTATTTATATATTTACTTATATTATTCTTACGAAAAAGTTAAAAGATAAAGTAAAACTTTTTCTGATTGAATGAATAAATAAGTAATAATAGGATTAAAATGAGAAAAAAATATTTTTTTATTAAAAAAAATAACAATTAATTTAAGATAAACTCAGAGTAAAAAAAATAGTTATTTTGATATAGAGAGAGTATAACTAGTGCAGTAATAACTTATAAAATTTGGCAATAATTTTATAAAGAAAGGAGCAATGTTTTTAAATTGGATAATAAATTTTTTTTTCAAATATCTGAATTTATTTTTAGAAATTGTGTTATGTGAAACAAAAACTTTTCAATAATTAAAAAAAAAAAAAATCACTACAAAAGAGGAGCATTGGGTTGCCAATGAGGCTTTTAGGCCTACCGTTAAGTTTGGTCCACTGATGATCTGGGTTTGGGCTAGCAACGTGTTACAACTTGCAAGGTATTCTAATTCCAAATTTCTACATAGCCCAAAACCCAAATTGGTAAACCCAAATTACTAACGGTAACCCAGTGTTCCGTTACCATCCTCGCCTTCGCCCAGCACCGCAGCAGAATGCACCGAAGTCAAGTCGTCCAATGCCTTCGCCTAAAACCACAAAAAGAAACGAGCACCCACTGTATCGATCTTTTTGTAAGTTCTAAGTCACTCTGAGCTTCGAAGTCCACAAAAAGGCAATTTTCATACCCAAAACAATATTATCAACAAATTTTAAACCAAACCAATTGCCTCACTCATCGGGAGATCAGATCTCAGCGTGCGACGACGAGGATATGAGGAAGGACAACGAACAGGGATATTTGATCTAGAGTTGAAATGAAATGCAGCCGAATCTGTTTCCGTTCGGCAGTGTTTTTGGCAACCCGTTCCTGTTCAATGACGGCGGCGATTTGAGCGACGGTGGATTTGAGAGTTCCAGGGTTTTCTTCTTGGTCCCTTTCCTGCTGTCCCAAGGCGGAGGAATGGATTTGTCTAAGGTTGGAGAGAAGATTCTCAGCTCCGTACGGTCGGCGAGATCACTTGGACTCCTGCCTTCAGGTTCCTCTTCTGATCGCCCGGAGGTAAATGTAGTTCGACACTGCTAAATCTTCATTAATCATTATGTTTATTTGTATGAGCGAGATATTGAATCTGAATCAGCTTGATTAAAGGAATAGAGATTTAGTATCATCGTTTTTCTTTGTTATGGAGACTAGATGATGTCTACTCTTACTCTTTAACTTTGATCAAATATAAAGCTAGAGTTTAATTTGATTTATGTTGAAATTTACTGTTCGTCAGTTGGTGCTACACCTACTATTGCTTACAGACATATAGATAAATAGATTTGGTGCATATTTTTTCTGCAAGTCACTCCATGAACCATGAACCACTGGATGTTAGTTATATTAGTGTGTTTCTTCAGGTTCAGCATCAGTTTTATGTATAGTATGCTTTTGATAATTTCTTTACAGTATATTAAAACTAAAACTAAAATTTGCTAGGAGAATTTGATTTATAAGTTATTTAATTCCTTGCACAGGTTCCAGCCCGTGCTGCTGCGGCAGCAGCTGTTGCTCGAGTCCTGGCAGGACTGCCTGCCCATCAGAGATATAGCCTCCCATCAAGTTCAGAAGAACTGATCTCAATATATGGAAGCAGGCCCCATGCTGAAGTACTGGAAGAACTAGAGGAAGATTTCTACGAAGAGGTGATTTGTAATGCTTTAATTTTATTTGTTTTAGGTATTATTGTTTATGTTGTTGCTGTATGGTTCGTACATTCAGGTTTTGACCATTTATTTGTGTATGGAAATGTTGCTTGTTTTCTTTCTGACATTTATATTGCAAATAATGACTGTACTTATACTTCAACGTGTATGATGATATGAATTGCTTCTGTTAGACATGCCAGTTGGATTTGTCATAATACAGTTAAGAATTGCAGAGAGGGATTGTTAATAATTGCGTTATATTCTGATGGAAAGAAAACATGTTATGATTTGGCTTTAGTATTTATCTTGTGCAGTTATATTTGTTTCATCACACAACCAATTCATTTGAATGTGTTCCATTTTTGCATGATTATAATTTTTTTATAAGAACTGTAGAGTTATATGGAATTGAGGTAATTTCAGTAAAAAGTTTTTAGAACAAGATGTTAATTAGTAATTGAAGCTTTTTTTTTATGCATGCGGTCTATGTGCAAGGAGTGGTCTGAATAGTTGATACTGTTTTAATTTTTTTGTGCATTGGTGTTATATAGGGAGAACACTTCATTCAGGATAAGTATTGAGATCCATATAATTCTTAGTTTAAAAAATTTCAGAAGGGTGAGTAGTAGTACACCCCTTCCTGCCCTGTGGTGGTGCCTGATGATGCTATCAAACCACATTTTTAATTACAGTCTTTTTGTTAATCCTTACAGTTTGAGTTCAGCTTACCAACTGCCATTTATTTTGGCTTGCATGCTATTTCTTTAAAAGAGTATAAGAAAGAGGGGCATGGGCATTCTTTGCACCTGCTTTACATAGCAAGCAGGCAAGAATATTACAAGAAGGGGGAGATAAAAACTGAAGACCAACTCTATAATTTTCTCTCATTTTTTATTGCCATTTCTTTGGCCTGACTTTAATTGTTTTTCTACTGTTACTATGTGTGAGAATTTGGCGTTATTGTATTAAAGAGGACCCTTTATTGTAGGAGTTTGATCCCATAAGACATGTTTTAGAGCATGTTCCTTCTGAAGAAAATGAGCTGGCATATTTTGAGAAACAGGTATTGTTTCACCTCTTTGTTTATAATAATCTCTTACTTGTTGATTTTTGAAAAGGGCTTGAAATATAAGCCATGATAGAAAGCAACTACTAATGTGTAAGATGTGTGAGCTGAGTTATAAAAACTGGCTTATTTTGATTTTTGTTGTTGAGTTTGATGTTTACACATTTGGCCAACTACCATTCACTTAGCTACTTGCATGGCAGTTTACAAATGGGTTTAACCTGTCAGATATGTTAATCAAGTTATTTTCCAATGTTCATTCAGCAAAGAAATCTAACATATTGTAACAAATTTTAACAAACGATGAAATGATCTCTACTATATGCAAATACAAATTTTGGGGTATCTGAACATGGGGATCACCTGATGTTGACTAGGAGTTATGGGCTCAGTTAGTCCAAATGTCCATCAGTACACTTTAATTGTTATCTAGAACACCCTGAACACTGCTTTTCCTCAGTTTATGGACAGTCTTCTCTAGTCTGCTTTTGTTGAGTTTTTGAAAGTTTGTATGATTCTGTAAAGACTACAGCAATAAGATGATGATAGTTCTCTTTAAGGCTTTGATGTTATATGCTTCTAGCTGTCACTTTCTGGATATTAACTTGTGTGCCCTATTAAGTTTGTTTGTGGATTTTCTTAAAATATTTGTGAAATCCCCCATTGTGTCATAGTTTCAAATGTGGTTTTGCATTTTAGGGTTTGCTACTTGATTAATTGATGAATAAGGATTCAGTAGAAGTTTAACATGAAATTTATGTGTTCTAATTGGTTTATACTAATGCTTACAAACTTTTGTTAAGGATTCTTGGAGTGTGCCTTAATACTGCATATTCTTTAAGTTTCAATTTGTTCATTAACTGTTAAATAACATGCACTTTCTCTTGTTTAGGCTGCTCTTAGACTAGCACAGCTGGATAAAGTAGCAGAACGTTTATCTCGTCAAGTAATTGAGCATCATGAAGTAATGGGTAAGCATCTTCATGGATTTTTTCTATTCGATTTGCAATTCTATTGATATTACTTAGATGCTATTGTATGTTTATATTGATTTAACTTATGTTTCAGTGGTTATAGTCAAAATTTGTCTCATTAGGACAGTTGGTCAACTTGTATTTTTCAACTCATGGTTACATCTTATAAACTTGATTTTCATTATTATACTTGGCATTTTTTATTAATTTCTTTTCAGAAACCTTTTTCATTGTCTTGGGTGTTCTATTGTTCCCTTATTTTATTGAGATGTGCAAGTAGTGTCTTGCTATTTTCAAGTAGATTCAGATACCTACTTTTGGTCAGTGAAGGGTATGCATTTGGTGAGGGAATTGGAGAAAGACTTGAAGGTTGCAAATGTCATCTGCATGGTAAGCATTTGAAGAGGAGAAAGACATGTTAAAAAACCTGATAAGGTTCTAATGTTATCTCACCTGTTTACTTACTTCCATCCTTAGTGGAAAATGTTATGATAATAGCAATTATTACTTTTAAAGTTGTTACCACTGCTGGTTCTGCATTTTGTTGTAGTTAATTTTATGGTGTTTGCAGAATGGAAGGAGGCATTTAACGTCATCAATGAATGAGGTGTCAAGGGATCTCATTGTGCATACAAATTCTAAAAAGAAGCAAGCTCTGTTGGTATGTCATTCTACTTTTAAGACAAATTAGTAATTTTTTTAATCTTTCTTTGTGACTAGTTTTCTTGATTTTCAGTTTCAGTGAGAAAATTTTAATATTTTGATACTTATCGCAGGACATGCTTCCAGTATTAGCTGAGCTTCGTCGTGCTCAGGAGATGCAAATAGAACTTGAATGCCTTGTTGAGGAGGGAAATTATTGCAAGGTTGGTTTAAAGTTGTTCTTGTGCCAGCTAATGTATTATATGACCCACAATTCTCTTGCTTCTTTTTCTCAATTTACTTCATAGTGAATTGCCTGTTACATCTTTTAGAAATATTCCACTAATTGTTCATTGTTGCTTAGGCATTTCAAGTTCTCTCTGAGTATTTGCAACTACTGGATAGTTTCTCAGAGCTTGCTGCAATACAAGAAATGAGCCGTGGTGTTGAGGTGAATTTGAATTTTCTTTTATTAGTCTTAGATTATCAAACAGAAGTTAGTGCTTTTGGATCTGTTTTCAGTTTAGTGAGATTTTGTATAGAATTAAATAACTCTTTGGTCTGTTTAGGCTGTCATATATCTTTCCTCTGCATAACCAATTTATTTGCACTTTTATTGCTTTTGTGAACTATGAATCTTTGATGCTGCCTTATTTTCCTCATTTAAATGTTCACTCAGGTTTGGCTAGGAAGCACTCTTCAAAAGCTGGATTCACTCTTGTTAGGAGTATGTCAGGACTTTAAAGAGGAGGGTTATCTAAATGTCTGTATATCTATCCTCTTTCATGAATCAAGTCATAATTTTGTTTCTGTCAAGTGGCTGCTTTATGGTAGAAAGGAAAAATGTAGCAACCATTTGATGCTACAAGGATTTTGATGACTAAGCTGACTCCTAATGTTTCAGGTGGTTGATGCCTATGCATTAATAGGGGATGTCTCTGGTCTTGCTGAAAAGATACAGAGCTTCTTTATGCAGGAAGTTATCTCAGAAACTCACTCTGTTTTGAAGAGTATTGTGAATGAGGTATGTTAAGACATAATTATTTGGCAATTCATGGACTTCTCTATTTTAGATTCTGGGAAGAACCACTTATTAGATTATAGCTCTGCAAAATACTAATTAGCATCTCTATCATGATGTACACATGTAAATTGCACAAAGATCATCTTATTGATGTGTGTATTGGTGATTATCTATAGGGCCAAAATCTAATTTGGCATGGATATACCAGTTAGGCCAAAGGTTCTTGCTTTCTAATTAGTGCTAGATGTAAATTCAAATTTAAGTCAATCAGATGATTACTTCACAAAAAAGAAAGAAAAAAAAACATAATTATGCTTGGTTGACCATTAGGGCTTGTTTGGTTAGAGGATCACCTTATGAGGAAAGTTTTTACTGGGAAAGTGATTAGGAAAGTACTGTGTGGAAAATTAGAAACTTAGAAAGTACCATCCAGAAAGTTGTTAAGTTTTGTAATAAAGCTTTGTTGGAATTTTGTTAGGTTATTTTGTTTGGTAAGAAATTGATATAGGGAAAGTTGTTAAGTAGGCCTAATATAGGGAAAGTTATAGGAAAACCTTTTCCTTTCAAAATAGTTGGGAAAAAACTTTACGGGTTGGAATTTGTGTTAGGAAAAAAAATGCTCAAAATGCCTCTTTTGCCCTCATTTTGTTATAGTATTAATGTGTGAAAATACATAAATAACCTCACAAGGGGGAAAGTTTAGAAAAGTTTAGGGGGGGGGGGGAAGTTGTCCCCCAACCAAACACCCCCTTAGGGAAAGAAATTGTGGATGAAGAATAAAACTGAATATAAGTTTCTCTCTTTAAGTTGTCTGTTTCCATTTGCTCTTAATTTTATGGAGGTTTTTGTTCCCTAATAAACTTATTCTTGGGCTTTCTTATCTCCTTTTTCTCTCAAGTTGTCCATTTCCATTTGCTCTTACTTTTCTGGTGTATTTTTTCTTTTTTTAAATCTTTATTCTTTTTCATCGTTATATGACAGGAGAACTTACTTTAGTGACTAATTAACTTTTGCAGGATCAGGATGTGAACGTGCAGAATAGTAGGTAAAATTTTCGGAGACTTTTCAATCAATTACATATTTACATAGCTTACTTTATACTCATGATAAGATTGCAGATTGCTAACTCTTTTATTTGATTACAGACTTACATACAGTGATCTATGCCTTCAGATACCTGAATCTAAGTTTAGGCACTGTTTGTTAAGAACACTGGCTGTCTTGTTCAAATTGATGTGTTCATATCATGAAATCATGAGTTTTCATCTAGAGCATAAGGTGGGCTTTGATTCTTCCTAATTTTCAGTTGTTTGGTATTTTCATATGGTTTGTTGAACATTTCGTCAATTATCTTGGTTTATTGTCCAGAATCCTGAGATAATATTGTCTTTTGTAAAATAAGGTAAATATTAGTTTTGGCAAAGTCCCTGTTCTTTTTCTTTTTTTTTCCTGAATTGGTTTGAATTTATGGTAGGATCCACAGAACACAAATATCCACGTGCGCACAGCCTACAGGCACATGCTTGTATCCTTATGAAGTCTTCGATTTCTGTATATTGATTTTCTTTCATTTGATTTCTTTCATTTTGATAATTACATCTTTGTTGCAGGGTTTAGAGTCTCAAGCTTCAAATGTCAAATTTAATGAAGGTGATCTCTTTTGCAAAGCAGTAGAGGTTCAATACAATGATTCATTATTTAGAAATTCTTGCTACTCCAATGCAGTTAATTGCTCTTTCTCTGAATCTGTAGATAGAATACCTGCTTCAGATTCTACAGAGGAGTCTACAAAACCCGTCTCCTTGTCTAATGAAACTGGAACAATTGGTTCTGGGAATTCAGTTACTCATGATACAGTTGATAGTGCAACAAATGGTGAAGATGTCGCATCAAGCAGTGGGTCCCCATGGTATCACTTAAGGAAAGAAGCTATAGCTTTTGTTTCACAAACTCTTCAAAGAGGACGCAAGCATCTTTGGCAACTTACAACTAGCCGTGTATCAGTATTGCTTTCTTCTTCTGCCGTTTCTTCAACAAGCATTCATCAATTTTTGAAAAACTACGAAGATTTGAATTCCTTCATCCTGGCTGGGGAAGCCTTCTGTGGAGTAGAGGCGGTTGAATTCAGGCAGAAGCTGAAGGGAGTTTGTGAAAATTACTTTCTAGCATTCCATCGGCAAAACTTATCAGTAAGATGGGCTTTCCTGGTTTCTGTTCTCTGTATGTTAGTTTTGCATTATTACTCTAATGAGTTGTATTTTTCTATTTTCTGTCTTTTTTCTGTTTTAGCATTGGTTTCTCCTTGCATGACTGAAATTAACCATATAACCCTCCCCAACCACGAGTCTCACACCGGAAGGAAAGGGACTCTTGGATTGGTTTATTGGTGCTAACACCGCAAACCAAAGTGGACACATTTTAAAACAGTGGGTCCCACTTTGGTGGACATTATACACTGCAGTTTCCGGGGTTGTTACATTAACTACATGGAATGACACCTTCATTACTTTCATAAATTCACTCTCTTAAGAACACCTTTGATAACGATAAATTTGAAATTCATTTAATCAGCCAGACAGTAGAACTATTACAGTATTACCCTTTTATTATGTATTACTTTTTCATTATACCAGAATTCAAATTTTCAAGGCTATTAATCTTTATGATTTGCAGTGTCAGCATTAGTGGGGCATCATTCTTGCAAATATAGTTTGTTTAACTTTTACTGCTTGACATGCCAGAATTTTGGTCATTTTCTTACATGCAAGAATTGCAGTAACCAATGATCTTGAATACATTTGCATCAGCTCTCATAACTTTTAGAAAATTAACCAGATAAAACAGAAAATGTAGGAGATATATTGTTGAATTGTCTAGTCATGACTATTAAACTGCATGTTCTTTTTATTCATATCATATTATTTGTTGGCATAGTTTTCACAGTGGATTTTTTCTATGTTGTAGATTCTAGAAATTGATGCTTTTCTATTTTTGCCACCACACCAAAATCATGCTTGCTACTTGAACCCACAAATCAAATGCAGTCTAAACAAAACTTGGGCTGGGCTTTTCTTTGTTTTGTTTGCAGGCTCTTAAGATGGTCTTGGAGAAGGAGATTTGGCATACATTGCCACCAGATACTATGCAAGTAATTAGTTTTGCTGGGCTGGTTGGTGATGGAGCAGCCCTACTTGTTCCATCTGATGGTAACTCTTCTAACAAAAGAACACATTATTCTGGCAAATCAGCAAATGTAATTGATATGGGTGCCAAGAAGAGTGGATTTTCTCATTGGCTTAGAAGTGGAAACCCATTTTTGGTAAAACTAACCAATACTTCCAAAGAAAGTCATAATTCCTCCCTACTTAATGGGGGTGAATATGATGTAGCCTCTCCACATGATCTTCATGGGGATATAGTATCTCCACGTAATGGAGATATTAATCACACAAATGACACTAGTTCTGTTCCAGAAGAGGAAAATGAGGATTTGCTTGCTGATTTTATTGATGAGGATAGTCAACTCCCTAGTCGAATTTCAAAATCCAGCATTTTGAGAAGTCACTCTTCACATTGCAATAATGATGAGATTACAGCACAAACAGGATCATCTCTTTGTCTTCTAAGGTTAGATGTTTTTGAGATAATATATGGTTAAAAAGGGGAATACTAAGAAGTTGCTTCTCTATGTTTCTGTATGTCAATGAATTAAGCTGTCTTTTATTTTATATGTTAGGTCAATGGATAAATATGCAAGACTGATGCAGAAACTAGAAATAGTAAATGTTGAGTTTTTTAAGGTGCGTTGACATTGTACCTTTTTTCCCCCTCATCTTTACTTATTTAGCATCTTATTACAATGTTAACAGTGCTTTAAATTTTTTTTTCTTCTAAATTATTTTTCCTGATTCAGTATATTGTTGCAGGGGATATGCCAGTTGTTTGGGGTGTTTTTTTATTATGTATTTGAAACATTTGGTCAGCAAAATGGTAGTTCAAGTGGAAAAGGCACAAATGACTCTCTTAACTGTAAGTCAATCTACTTTCAAATAATATTGTAACTTGTTTATTTCCATAATAATAACTACTTATTCATTTAATTAGTTTTTACCTCAGCCTTTCATTTGATCATATTAAATCTAAAGTGAACTATACTCAGAATCAATCTGTTTATAATCCTCAGATCGGTTAAAGACAGCCTTATCCAGAATAACACAAGATTGTGATCTATGGATAAAACCTCAGTCATCATCATTTTCATCTTCGTCACCCACACATGCGGATTTGACACTGACCAATCCTCTAAGTCCAAATTTTGCTCATTCACCAGGAACATCTTTTGGTCTCAAGGTATTAATGTAAATAACTTGCCAATAAGGTAGATAGTATGACATTATTGCAATCAAATTCAGCCTTTCATTCTGATCATAGAAAATTCAATGAGAATATTTTCCAGGGTAAGGGGACTATTTAGTTTGCCTTTACTTCATTATTATTATTATTATTATATACTTTCCTCAGCCACAGGATGTTCTATCTGCATTGTTCGTTTTCAAATTAGGAATCAAGTTTTTATCATATTTGTAACAAAAAAATAATATGACCATTACATTACAGGAAAGATGCATGGCTGCTGATAGTATGTCTCTTGTTGCTCGGATGTTGCATAGATCAAGAAACCACCTTCAATCAATGCTTCTACAAAATAATACTGCTGTAATTGAAGATTTCTATGTGCACCAGGTATGTTTCAATTTCATTTGCAGTGATTTGTATGGTGCAAAAGCTGAAATAATGATGTGATGAAATAGGCTAATTAAGAACACAATTATTGCTGGCCAGAAAAGAAAGGACATGATTATAAACTTACGATCTTATGACTGATTTACCGGACAGCACTTCTTAATTCATATTTCCCATGTAACTGAGAAATATTAATAAACTAGTAATCCCCTCCAATCCCAGCTCTTTTTTGATATTTTGGGAAAACTGCATAAATATTATGAACATGATTATTAATTTATATGGTTTTTACCAGGTGGGTTCTGTGCCAGATCTTATAGAGCAAATACACAGGACGACTGCAAGAACACTGCTCCACATCAATGGGTAAGGGTGAAACATAAAGCACAATAGGATACATTGACCGTTGGATGTTCTAAGGGCTGTTATTTGGCTATTGTCTCACTGAAACTGAATCCTGGAATGGGCTGTCTGATCCTTAACTATTGGTAGCCTGTTCTGATTCAAGAGTGATATTAATGGCTTTTATCTTTGTATCTTTCTGTGTGATTCTAGGGTTGTTTTCTTCACTTTACCAAACTTTGATAGCTAATGATTTTTAGAACACTTTATGCATACCTTGAATTAAGGAAAATGATATACCAAATAAAAGCGAGCCATGACAAATTCGGAGTTCAAACAGGGCTATTCTGAGAGGAATTGAAAGTTTGAGTAAAATGTTTAGCAATACTTTAATTACAGGGCTATGATGTTCTATTCTGTTGGTTTTTAAGTAGTGCTTTTGCATAGGCTATTCTCCTCATGAAGTGCCAATTTTGTTGCCAGGTATGTTGATAAAATTGCCAATGCTAAATGGGAGGTAAAAGAGCTGGGAATGGAGCACAATGGGTGCGTTCTCTAAGGATCATCCTTTTTCCTTTCATTTCATCTGTGTGTCAGTTCCATTTTTCTGCTAGTTGTCTGATTAGAGCTTTTTCTTTGGTATGGTTAGTCCATAGATGTTAGCTCTTGTTCTTGGAAATGCAAATAAGAAAATCCAAATAAGCTCAGATATCTCTACACACACAAGAAGCAAGCAAAGTTTTCTATATTGTTTGCATGATATGCCTCCCTCAGCCCATCCTTGGATTTATCAATTGCATCTTTTTTCAAAAATCTTGCTACAATGTCATTCCATGTTGAAATATCTGGTGTGAACCAATAAAAACTGAAAGAAAAATTGAAAACAATACTAAAATCCTTGCAGTACTAGGTCATTTTGATGTTGTATAAGGATTGTCTCATTGTTTTGAACTACAAAAAAGTGTAAGGTTACTACCATTTGTTCTATTTTTACTTTCTCCCTGACCTAGAACCATTTTAGTGAACTGGTATGAATCCTGTTGAAACTTTTGAAGTAAAAATTTGCATTTTCTGAAACTTTTTGCTTTACTTGTATTGCTGTTTGACAGATTCCATAACTTGTGTTGCTTGATTATCAGGTATGTTGATTTGCTATTGGGAGAATTTAAGCACTATAAAACAAGGCTTGCTCATGGTGGAATCCAAAAGGAGGTAAAACAATGGCTGGCAAATGGCGTCAGTTTTAATGGGGCTCTACACTTTTGTTATATATTTTTAAGAAATACTGGGATTAGCTGGTTTTTAGGTCAAATGGTTCTTGACATGATAGTAAAGCCAATTAACTTGGTGATATTTAGGTTTCAGTGTCCGAATGTGATTAGTTAAAAAAAAAAAAAA